TGAGCAAAACAGCGGCAGAATATTTTCAGTCAAGGTCTCACTGTTAAATATGTGCATATTTTATTAAGTCTATGACAAAGGGTGTGAAATATGAGCCGTCATAGTACCGGCCGGCTCTCTTAGTGGTCATCGTTGGCTCAATAAACCGAACGGGAACTGTCCGTAGTGCTGAAACTGGCTGCTGAGCAGTTCAGAGAGGGCGGTCGAGACTGGTCATTTATATGTTTAAAATATATAATTTTAACAAACAGTAACACAGTTGTTGGTGATTTTTAAATGAATTGTATTGCATTGTATTTAAATCTTCCACAAAAGTATGGAGCGGTATTGTGAGGGCTAGTGGCGTAACCTCAGGCTATGCCTTTGCCTGTATCGATTTGTCCTATTTCCCCATCCTTTTCAACAATGTGTGCCCCGTTTTTCCCATTAACTCAGATTCTTGGTTTGGACAAACATTTGAAAGTTTTAGTCCATTCCATCTCCATCTCCCCCTGAAAATGAAAGCAGTTCCAATAAAACTTGTTGTCAAGTCTCCTGTCACCAAGCAGAACATGCCAGTATATGCTCATTGTTGGTAACGAGGGGCCGATGGCACACACTCCTCATGTCTTCCTCTGCTGGGGACTTTTGACACAAGCTAGGAGCGATCCGTCCCCTTGCTGCTGGTTCCCGTCCCTTCCTGTAGTGGAAGACAGCATTGATCAGGTACGTCCTTGACCAACAGTTACGAAATAGTTGCTGCAAGGACAAATAGCTGTAGGCTGTCTGAGAATTTGTGTTAGAACCAAGATTTGGCAAGCCTACAGGTAATTTGGTAACTCTACACCCAGTGGTGCGGTCTTCTGTTTGAGGGAGCAGCATTACAGGTCTCACAGGTGGGGGCATAGCATTTACCTCACTGAGTGTCACGTCCAGCCCCGCCATGTTTGTCTGTTCCCAGTGTTTCCCTTGGGCGTGGCTGCTAATGAGCTGCGCCTGAAGCTTGTTAGTCGTACCTCTTGTTCCTGCCCTCCTGTTAACCAGCCACAACTGCCCGTGTCCACTCCTCTGTTAATCATGTATAAAAGCCTCTCCTATAGTGCTGTGCTCCCCGTTTGGTCATTGTCCTCTGCCCGTATTTGCTGCTCTGCCTATTCGCCACAATAAACTCCCCTGCTAGGGGTTTCACTTGCCGACAGCCTGCCTTTGGGTTGTCCTTCTCCCGCCATAATGTGACAGAATGACTGAACCATCACAATGACCCCGCGGCTGTTCTTCCCCAGATCCAGCCAAGGATCTGTTTAACTAGGTTCCCTGGCTCATCCCTGAAAATGCTCACCTGTGTGACAGACGCCTGTACTGACCCTGTTATTGTGGGGAAAGCGATCTGGAACCGCCAGGGGCCCCGTGCCCGGTTGATGACTCGCTCCTTGACCTGACGTCCAGCGATGACCTGGAAGGGGCCTGAGTTTTGTTTGGAGGACTGGCTTTGGCAGCAGATGACGGGGTCTGGAAAGGATGAACCTGACATCTCATCTGCTTACTGCAGGCTCCAGGGGACGAGGCAGCCAGTGCCGCACAGAGCCACTTCGCCTGCCTCTCCTGAGTCCCAGGACACTGCCCGGCTCGCCGTGTCTTCACCAGGTCAGACCGGCTCTACATCATGTGTCTCAGCCACTGAGTTCTTCACCCTCCAGGAGCTTACTGGAGGTACTGGAGGAACCCTGCACACAGGCTTGTCCAGAAGTGGTTGATCTACTGGATCAGATCGCCCCGGGGGATGGCAACCATTTCCCCATGCTCGTCCTCCCAGGAGTTGCAGTGGTAGTGAAAAACTCCACCTAAGAAAAGAGGCGGGTGAGCGACCCGGTCCTTCGTCCGCTTTCCTACCGCCTCTTCCCACCCCACCTCCCATGGGAGAGTCACAATGGGAGGATGTGCAAGTCCCAGCCTCTGGCAGAAGGAGATGGCAGCGAAAAAAGCGAGTCCAGTCCCCCAATGTAATATGTTGTCTTGTCCCGTGAAGTTGTGTTTTGGGTGCTTTTAGTTGTGTCATGGTTGTCTGTTTTGTTTGTCCAGTCTTGATTGTTTTTTGTCTCACTAGGTCTCCAGTCCTGAGTCTGAGCGTCCGGCATCAGACCCTGTCCAGCGTCCTTGGTCCTGCCCCGTGTCCTGGCCCCATGTGCCCGTCCTCTCATCCAATCCCTTGGGCCCCCTCCCCGGCCTGCTAGGCGCGCCCGGTGTGTCAACATGACATTGAGAGGCCTAAGCTTACACCATAACAGACAGGCATTTAGGGTTTTTGCCCTTGACAACTTACATATATAACCATCAGATACTCCCAGCATCATCAATACAAATATTTACAATTACAGTTAATACAGAAGTTGCAAAGTTCGATTAATATATAATCGTTGATATGCCCTGCATCAAACTGGGTTAAGGTATCAAATTTATAGTAATAAAAGGGTTTTGTTGCAGTGCCTTTAAATAAAGGGGTCTTGCCTGCTGGAGCATCAAACTTAACATTTTCAATCCATAAAATATGAAGGATTCCAAGACGGCAAAAGGCACACTGTGACCACTGCAGCTCAGGTTATTCAATAAAGTGACATGTATTATATAAGAGCACGAGGCATTAAATTCCATAAGCATGAATCAGTATTTGACAAAGCATCAGTCACGTAAGGAACACTGCAACCATCGTCTGTCTCTCTGAAGGTAGCCGTTGACACTCATTAATAGCACATCTATCTCCTAAACACTTAGCCAGGTCAGGGTTGTCTGGAGTCTGTTCCAGGCAGCAGGGCTAGGGTATACCCTGCAGAGGATGTGGAGTCTATCACGGGGCATAGAGATGCATGCATCATGGGCTGTTTTAGCAATGCCAGTTAGCCAGACTGTAGACCCCTGGATTGCTCGCATGACAGAGGAAGAACATGCAAACTGCACATGCAGAGCAGAGGCAGGATTGGAATGGCCAACCCTGGTGTGAAACTATAGTGCTACCCACTGAGCCACCGTGCACCCTGCCAGCAATACACCATCCATCCATCCATCCATCCATCCATCCATTTTCTGAAACCACTTGTCCTATTCGGTGTTGCAGGGAGTCCTTAGACTATCCCAGAGGCTCCTAGGTGCAAAGCAGGGCACAACCCAGGATGGGGCGCCAACCCATCGCACCAATGCACTATACTCTTTACATTAATAATGACAATATTTATTTGCCATAAATATTAAGAAATAAAAGTTTAGGTATACAGCTTCAGGTTTATATCTATAGATGACTGGTTATAACATTTCATATTTAGAGATATTTTAATTTTATATTGTCTTAAGAAATAACTATTAACTACTGTTTCTTTTTATAAGTTGATCTGCATGTTACACATAATTCTTTGCCAAAATCAGAAAATACGTTAGATTTACTTTCAGAAAATATCTCAGCCATTTCAAAATCTCTGCTAATGTCAACCCAGTATTTGCAGTAACCCTCCAACAGAACCATGTGTTTTTTGTCTCAACCTCTACCCCACCTTGTTTGGCTAATCAAAATCTCTTTGACTTTTTAAACAAATCAAGTGAGACATTCTTGTTAGTTTTTGATGCATTACTCTTAATTATCATATCACAGAATGTTAAATTGTGCTCCTTTTTTCTGAGCACATACACTTCCTACCCAGATAAATAGCATTAAACATTCCCTTTCACGGCCTAAGACTTCACATGGTGTGGACTTAATTTTATTCCTGCATGACTATTATAATATTGTAAATACAAAATGACAGATTTACAGGCAGTCCCCATGTTATGAATGAGATCCATTGCCTAAGTCTGTTTTTAAGTAGAATTTGTAGGTAAGTCATAATGATAATAATAACAATTATTATTATGAATAATAACAATTATAATTCAGTAATTTTAAAAGTAACTACATATGGTACTGTTCTGTACCTGGAGCTAACGGACTGCTGAAGCCATCCAATGTTTTCATGAGCGTCTCGAAGTAGTGTGTACATTTATTATTACGAGCCATTGTATTTAACCTAATTTTTTATATAATAGGTTTTATAGCAGTGTGTTCATCAGTATGAGCTCTCCATAAGTTGGACGGTCTTAAACTGGGTACTGCTTGTACATTTGTATAAACCAAACACAGACAAATAATGCCAGACACTAAGTTCTTTTGACTGACATTGAGGCAACGTAAGAAGGCAAAAATATCCAAAGGTGAAGCCCAGCGTGAGAGCCCAAAGCTATGGAAGTACTTAATAGCCATCATAGCACTTACTATATGAATTGCATCAGCCATGTGGCACAATCAATGCAGTTGCCTATAAATGAGTGGCATGCAATGGCCTGCCGGCATGACAGGTCTCAGCTAACAATGGTTATAAAAAGCCACTGTAGGCAGAGCGGCCTTCAAAGCAGGCAAGAAGTTTTGTCACGTGTACTAACTTCTTCCTGCTCAGCTGCAGTCTTTAGTGCAGAACACGAGGATGCAGCCAGAGAAATAGATTTAAAAATGACAGGATGAGAAAGTCCAAGTCTCAGTGATCTTTAATCTCTCGCTTGATCATTAACAGACATTTTTCAAGAAAGGAGATTGTGAGAGAGCTGAGAAAATGGCACAATTCATTTTTGTCCAGTTGCTTCTCTAATAGAGGGGGGTTATTGATTATTGAGATTTAAGGCATCCCTGTCTCTTACTCTCTCTCTCTCTTTTTTCAGTGTCTTCCTGACTTTTGCTGGGTATTCATTTTTCAAACATCTTCG